ATGATTATTCACGCCCACCAATAATTTTTAGATATTTGACAATGCCAGAGACAACATCAAGACTTATCACTACGCAAGGAGGTTGCTACAGTTCTTGTTATTAGGGAGGCAACAATTGCGCGCATGGTTGCTGAATATAATAAAAATGAGATCTTATCACAAAAAAACCATGGCCAACCAAAAAAAGAGCTTAAACTGCGATGTTGTTGCAGCCTTGTTATTTCTGCAAATATTTCTGATGCCCACTTTCAACACATGTATTACGACAAAAACTTGAAGAAAATGGCCATATATTTCACAATGGACATTAGTACTTCGTATACCCTACCTTACCATTGTGAACTACAACCGATTAAGAGAGTTTAGTCTACTGTAAAAGGTGTAGTTACTAGAGCCAGTCCTCATCCTAATCTTCTCGCTATTAGAGACAAATTATTGTATACTTTTAAGAAAAAAGTTACCATTAAAGTTACAATTGGGTTTTGGAAAATGTGTCTTAATAAGGCGAAAAAATATAAATATTTATGTGATGATATGAAAATGAAAATGAAGATTCCGAAGTTGAAGAATTTGATGAATAATAAAAAATTTTATTTAAATTGAAAACTTTAATGAATTTACATTTAAATATGTCTTAAAACTGAAGTTATAAATAAAATAATTTAAAAAATTTACTTTAATTTTAAGAAAAAATTTTTTTATTAATAGCATATTGGTGTATCAACTTTTTTGCACCAGACCATAAAATATTATGAACGGTTATTAATAACCGTTCTTTTTTTATTTTTTAGATTTGGGTGGGCTTCTGAAGAACGAAAACCTAAAGATAAAGATTCGTAAGTACAAATTTTTATTTTTTTTTATTTTTTTTTTAATAAAATATTATGAACGGTTATTAATAACCGTTCTTTTCTTTTTTATAGGTTCGGGTAGGCTTCTGAAGATCGGAAAAATGAGAACTTTTAAGATTAGTAAGTAATATACTTGTGAATCTTTTTTTTTTTAATGTTATGGAACGGTTACTAACCGTTCTTTTTAATTTTTTTTATAGGTTTGGCGTCTCGGAGTTTCTGAAGAATGAAAGCCCAAAAGATTCATAAGTATGAATTTTACTTTGTTTTTTTCTTATTATTACGAACGGTTTACTAACCGTTCTTGTATTTTTTTTTATAGGTTCGTGAATAGAAAACCAAGATTCGTAAGTACGAATTTTGGTTTATTATTTATTATTTTTTTTAATATTATTATGAACGGTTACTAATAACCGTTCATTTTCTTTTTTTTAGATTTCGGGATCTTTGGAAAAAGTGGAACCAAGATTTGTAAGTACGAATCTTTGGTTTATTTTTTATTTTTAATATTATTATGAATGGTTATTAATAACCGTTCTTTTCTTTTCTTTTTTATAGGTTTAATGTCTAAGGCGGATTCCAAAGAACAGAAAAAAACCAAAGATTCGTAAGTAGAATCTTGGTTTTTTTTGCTTTTTTTTAATATTTTGAACGGTTACTAACCGTTCTTTTCTTTTTTATAGTTTTGGTGGGTTTCCAAAAAATCAAGATTCGTAAGTATATACAAATACATGAATTATGTGATTGTGGAATTGTAGATTAGTAATACTTATTTGTAATATGCATTTATAAATAAAGTTGTGATTTTATTGTGAATATCAAATAAAATGAGTTGTGGCCGAATATTAGTAAATAAATGTAAATTGAAATTTGCAACATAAATTAAGCAACATTTGGAAAACTATTCACCAAAATTTGCTATCTGAAATTGTTCCGAATGTTAACTGAATTTTGGCTGAAATTTCAAGCTAAACTTTGGGTGAGTGGTAGCAAATTGCAGCCAAAAAATTGGCTAAAGTTCGACCAGCATTAGACTATAAATCAGCCTAAAATCGGCTGGCTGAATTTTGGCTGATTTGGACTATTTTGACTAGTGTTAAGACCCTTAAAGAAAAAAAAGAAGAGAACGTTAAAGACTATCCAAAAACTAAAAAACAAAAAAATCCCCTCCTTGACGTATCTTTATAACCCATGTCGAAATCCAGGTCCAAGAAGGTGTCTCCCTAAAAAAAGAAGCAAAAGGAACGTTAATTACGTTCCTAAAAACAAAAAAATAAAAATACCTTTCCCCCAACTTACCTTTATAACCCATGCCAAAATCCAGGTCCAAAAGGCATCCTCCTAAAAAAAAGAAGCAAAAGGAACGTTAGTTACGTTCTTAAAGACACAAAAAAAACCAAAAATACCCTTCCCAATATACTTTAATAGCCCAAGCCAAGGATAGATGTGTGGTGAATTAATTAGAGATTTTGGTATTGAGTTTTGTGGTAAGTTTACTATTAATTTCAAAGATCCTCTTAACTTTCGTAGTAATAGAGACTAATAAAGTTATCAACCCAAAAATCCAGGATTTAGGAAAGGCATTACTTAAAGAAAAAGAAAAAGAAACGTTAATGATGTTCCCAAAGACAAAAAAAAAGATAAAAAACCCTTCACTAACTTACTTTAATAGCCCAAACTGAAATTCAGGCTAGGAAGGACGTCACATAAAGAAAAGAAGCAAAAGAAATGTTAATTACGTTCCTAAAGACAAAAAAAAATCCAAAAATAACCTCCCCAACTTACTTTAATAGTCCAAGCCAAAATCCAGATTAGGAAGGGTGTTACCTAAAGAAAAGAAGCAAAAGGAACATTAATGAATAATGATGTTCCTAAAAAAAAAAAATAAGCAAAACACCCTTCCTCAACTTACCTAAATAGCCCAAGTCAAAATCCAAGTCTAGAAAGGGCGTCACCTAAAGAAAAAAAGTAAAAGAAACGTTAATGATACTCCCAAAGAAAAAAAACCCCCAAAAATAACTTTCCTGACTTACTTTAATAGCCCAAGCCAAAATCCAGGTCTAGGAAGGGCATCACCTAAAGAAAAAAAGCAAAAGGAACGTTAATTATGTTTCTAAAGACAAAAAAAACCTGAAAATACCTTCCCTCAACTTACCTTTATAGCCAAGCCAAAATCCAAATCTGGGAGGGCATCCCCTAAAGAAAAAAAGCAAAAGAAACGTTAATGATATTCCCAAAGACAAACAAAAAATCAAAATTACCCTCCCCCAACTTATCTTTATAGCCCAAGCCGAAATTGAGTTTCAGGCAGGCGTTTCCTAAAGAAATGAAGTAAAAGAACGTTTAGTGACATTTCCAAGACAAAAGAAAAAGAAATTTACATTTACTTTTTGAAATTCAAGCCGTCCAAGTTGTTCTGAAGTCAAAGTCCAAGTCTATTCTAAAGAAAAAAAGGTGTTTTTTTTTAAAAAAAAACATTTATGTTAAAAAAAAAAAAAAAAGGTATGAATTTGACCAGATTATCTGATCAATCCGGTCAATCCAGTCATCCATGTAACATCTGATCAATCTGATATTATCCAACGGATCTATCCGGATTATCCGCAATCTGTATGTTCATTCTTAATTTGAATGATCCATTTTTTGATCAGATCAGATGATGGATTGAACAGATTTCACTGGAGCACACCTCTACTTTGGAAAAGGATTTGGATAGTATAGCAAAACTAACTTTGTTAGTAGAAATCAAGTTCTTACCACAGGTCAAAAAGTGAAAAATCAGGCATCAATTGCCAGGCACCAATCGGCATATTCGCCAAATACCATCACCAATCAGGAATTTTGCTAACTTTTGATCCAGTGATCAGAAAAGGATGAAATATAGCTCATTGGAATCGTCTCAACAAGACGAATCTAATGGTAGTAAAATCGCATTTCTAGGATTAATAGTTAATAAAAAATTAAATTAAATATAAATGATACATTTTTATTTTTATATTTTACTTAATTTCTCATCAAGTATTAATCCTAGAGATGCAATTTTACTACCATTAAATTCGTCTTGTTGAGACGATTCCAATGAGCTATATTTTATCCTTTTCTGATCACTGGATCAAAAGTTAGCAAACTGCCTGATTGGTGATGATATTTGGTGAAAATGCTAATCAGTCACCAATCAGTCACCAATCAGTTACCAATCAGCTACCTGATTGGTGACTGATTGGTGACTGATTGATGCCTGATTTTTCACTTTTTGACCTGTATACTTAACAAGATAGTTAACTGACAGAATGACAGGACTATCTGGTAAGCTATAGGCAGGGCTAATAGAATACTATAGTAGTTATTTGTTATTTAAATTTTATTAACCCTTTTTTTTTATATTATTTTTACCTTAGCTTTTTTATTGAACTTTTTATTTTTTGTTTTTATGGTTCTAAGTTTTATGTTGCAGTTACAGTGAGTCTTGTTGGGCACTTACAGGACAAAGACCTGGAGAAGGAAATCCTCTCTAAGAAAGGAAGTTTTCAAAAACAGACTTACTCCACTAGTTCAAAGTTCCAACCTGACAGTGCACATATAGTTACCCTGAGTGGTAGATAGATGGTTTTGTTCCTAATAATATTAGTTTATTATTTCTATTTATGTAATCTCAATGTAATAGTTTAGGTGCAATTTTCTGATAAAAGTTCCAAATGTGCTGCAGAATAATAATAATAATAATAATAATAATTATTAATAAAAAAAAAAAAAAAAAATAAATGCTTTATTAATAATTTGCAGTTATTTCTAATCAATTCCTTATTATTTGCTATTACAAAGTTATTTGAGTATAAAAAAAAAAAAAAAAAAAAATAAATTTTATATAATATAAAACTTTCCAGGATTTTCAAAATTTATTAGTTTAGTTTGTTTAGTAAATTTCAAACTTTTAGAAAATTATATTAACCAAGAAATTTCACATTTAATATAATGTTATTGAACTTCAAAATAAATATGAAGACTTTAATGAAAACCAAGAACATTTTACTATTATTTAAATTGGAAAATAAAATTTTTTCCTTATTTGGATAAGGAATTATGAATTCTAAATCACGTGATATATCATTAATAATTTAAAACTAGATCGATACCCACTTTTATTTTGACCAAATAACTTAACGTTAAACATCTCTGTAAAAGACTCATGTCTGATTACAGTGAATCTTCGTCGTTTCACTCTCAAGGGAGTTATCCTGCAACAAATTATCTTGATCAACAAACGCAACAACAACCGTTTGCATATCAATATTATCAATTCGCTAATGTCCAGAATCAACAATTCAACGGATCTAACCAATTTATGAATATACAACAACCGATTGAACCATCACCCGAAAAAATAGAGGAGAAAGCAAGAAAATGGCAACAAATGCAATCAAAGCGATATGGAGAGAAAAGAAAGTTTGGATTCATTGAACATGAAAAGGCTGATATGCCACCAGAGCATATCAGAAAAATCATAAAAGATCATGGAGATATGTCGAGTAAGAAATATAGGCACGACAAAAGAATCTATCTAGGTGCCTTAAAATATGTGCCGCACGCAGTTTTAAAGTTGCTAGAAAATATGCCAATGCCTTGGGAACAGGTTAGTTAAAGATCTTGGGCAAAAATAATCGATAAATCCCTATTAAACTCTTAAATACTGATAATTGCTTTTATTTATTTATAGGTTCGTGAAGTACCTGTTTTATACCATATTACTGGAGCAATAACGTTCGTCAATGAGATTCCATGGGTTATTGAACCAGTATATATAGCACAATGGGGTACTATGTGGATTATGATGCGTCGCGAGAAACGGGATAGACGACATTTTAAGCGTATGCGATTTCCACCCTTTGATGATGAAGAGCCTCCATTAGATTATGGCGATAATATTCTAGATGTAGAGCCACTGGAAGCAATTCAAATGGAACTGGATGAGGTTGAAGATGCGCCAGTTCATGAGTGGTTCTATGACCATAAACCTTTAATGGACACTAAGTTTGTGAATGGATCAACATATCGAAGATGGAAACTAAGTTTGCCTATCATGTCCACTTTATATCGCTTAGCACACCAATTATTATCAGATTTGACAGATCAAAATTATTTTTACTTGTTTGACCTAAAGTCATTTTTTACTGCTAAAGCATTAAATTTGGCGATCCCTGCTGGTCCAAAGTTTGAACCATTGTATAGGGATATGGATGCGGCTGATGACGATTGGAATGAATTTAATGACATCAATAAAATAATCATCAGACAACCTATTCGTACAGAATATAAAATAGCTTTCCCTTTCCTTTATAATTCTTTGCCACGTTCTGTCCAAGTGTCGTGGTATCACGAACCTACAGTTGTTTATATTCGTGCCGAGGATCCTGATCTACCTGCATTTTATTTTGATCCTATCATTAACCCTATTTCATCACGCAATGTTACTTCACTAAATTTACGAAATTTGCATGAAGATGAAATATTTAATGAAAAAGATGTAGATACAGAGTTTTCGCTTCCAAGTAAAGTTGTACCATTTTTAGAAGATAGGCCGTTATATACAGATACGACAGCTGATGGTATTGCATTGTGGTGGGCTCCTTATCCTTTTAATAAACGTAGTGGTCGAATGAGACGTGCCGAAGATATTCCTTTAGTGAAGAATTGGTATCTCGAACATTGTCCTCCTGGGCAACCTGTAAAAGTTCGCGTTTCATATCAAAAACTTATCAAATGTTATGTGTTAAATGCGTTGAAACACAGACCTCCAAAAGCCTTGAACAAAAAATATTTGTTTCGCCAACTTAAGTCCACAAAATTCTTCCAAACTACAGAGTTAGATTGGGTTGAAGCGGGATTGCAAGTTTGTCGTCAAGGATATAATATGCTTAACCTTTTGATTCATCGTAAGAATCTTAATTACTTGCATTTGGATTACAATTTTAATTTAAAACCTGTGAAAACACTTACCACTAAGGAACGTAAAAAGTCTCGATTCGGGAATGCTTTCCATTTATGGTAACACGATCTTTATATATGATCTTTCTATGCATAATTAGAACATACTAATTAAACTAATTAATATTATTTCTTATTAGTCGAGAAATTTTGCGTTTGACAAAGCTGGTTGTTGATTCACATGTACAGTATCGGTTGGGTAATGTAGATGCATTCCAGTTAGCTGATGGCTTACAATATATATTTGCACACGTTGGCCAGCTTACTGGAATGTACAGATATAAATATCGCTTGATGAGACAAATTAGATTATGTAAAGATTTAAAACACCTTATTTGTAAGTGTTCTGAGATTTTTTTTTTTTCTTTTTTTTAAAATAAAAAATTTTTTATTCAATTTATTCTTTTATATAGATTATCGATTCAATACGGGTCCGGTAGGTAAAGGACCTGGTTGTGGTTTTTGGGCACCAGGATGGCGTGTCTGGTTATTTTTTATGAGAGGAATTGTTCCTTTATTAGAACGATGGCTTGGAAATTTATTGGCACGTCATTTCGAAGGCCGTCATTCCAAAGGAATTGCTAAGACTGTAACGAAACAACGTGTCGAATCTCATTATGACCTTGAACTTCGTGCTGCCGTTATGCATGATATCTTGGATATGATGCCGGAGGGTATCAAAGCTAATAAATCTAAAACTATATTACAACATCTTAGTGAGGCTTGGAGATGTTGGAAGGCAAACGTTCCTTGGCATATTATGGGAATGCCTAAACCTATCGAGAATATGATTCTTAGATATGTTAAGAGTAAAGGTATGCATATTTATAAGATTGTATATTTGACTTAATTGATTTTCCTAATCGAATAATTATGCAATATAATCTTTTGAAATTTAGCTGATTGGTGGACTAGTGTTGCACATTACAATCGTGAAAGAATCCGAAGAGGTGCAACTGTTGATAAAACGGTAAATACATCATTTCTCTTAATTTAAAAAACGATGCGAAACGTTTTTATTTATTAATATATTTTTTTTTTAATTAATCTTATTCAGGTTTGCAAGAAAAATCTTGGACGTTTGACGCGTCTGTGGCTGAAAGCCGAGCAAGAACGTCAACATAATTATCTTAAGGATGGCCCTTATATTACTGCAGAAGAAGCCGTTGCCATTTACACGTCTACAGTTCATTGGTTGGAAAGTCGTAAATTTTCACCTATTCCTTTCCCACCACTTTCATATAAACATGACACAAAGTTATTAATATTGGCGCTTGAAAGATTGAAGGAGGCCTACAGTGTAAAGGGCAGACTTAATCAAAGTCAACGTGAAGAATTGGGTTTGATCGAACAAGGTAACTAATTTATAGTTAATATATTAACGTATTTTGTTTATTCTAAATAGGTTGTAAAACTAATATTTATCTCCTTTATTTTGTAGCTTATGATAACCCACATGAAGCTCTTAGTCGAATTAAACGTCTTTTATTGACCCAGCGTGCATTTAAAGAAGTTGGGATCGAATTTATGGATCTTTACAGTCATTTGATTCCAGTATTCGACGTTGAGCCTCTTGAGAAAATTACTGACGCATACCTTGATCAATACTTATGGTATGAGGGAACAAAAAGAAATTTATTCCCTGCATGGATTAAGCCTTCAGATACCGAACCACCGCCATTGCTTGTCTACAAGTAAGATGCTTAACTTTCTTTCTTATGAATAAATTCATATGCTGTTGATACCGATTTTAATTATTATAATGAGGTTTTAATTTTTGAAATAAATATTTTTCTTTTTATAGGTTCTGTCAAGGAATTAACAACTTGACAGATGTGTGGGATACATCTGAAGGACAGATTAATGTCATGTTGGAAACTCAATTTAGTAAAGTCTATGAAAAGATAGATTTAACTTTATTAAACAGATTATTACGATTGATTTTAGACCACAACCTTGCAGACTACATGACAGCAAAGAATAACGTAGTATTAAATTATAAGGACATGAATCATGTTAATGCATATGGTCTCATTCGTGGTTTACAATTTGCAAGTTTTATCTTCCAGTATTATGGCCTTATTCTTGACTTATTAGTTCTTGGATTGCAACGCGCATCTGAAATGGCAGGACCAGCATCGATGCCTAATGACTTTCTCCAGTTTCGTGATGTTGCGACCGAGACTCGACATCCAATAAGATTATATTGTCGTTATATTGACAAAGTTCACATATTTTTCCGATTTAACGCTGAAGAAGCTAGAGATCTTATTCAGCGCTATTTAACAGAACATCCTGATCCAAATTCGGAAAATATAGTTGGATATAACAATAAGAAGTGTTGGCCACGAGATTGCAGAATGAGACTTTTCAAGAGTGATGTAAATGCTGGAAGAGCAGTATTTTGGGATATCAAAAATAGATTGCCTCGTTCATTAACTACTATTGAATGGGAAGACACTTTTTGTAGTGTTTATTCCAAGGACAATCCTAACGTTTTGTTTTCAATGTGCGGGTTTGAAGTAAGAATACTTCCAAAAATTCGAAATCTTAATGAAGAATTCACACTTAAGGATGGCGTATGGAATTTGATTAATGAGCAAACAAAAGAAAGAACTGCACAAGCTTTCCTTCGTGTTGATGAAGAATCAATGCAAAAGTTTCACAATCGTGTACGACAAATTTTAATGGCTAGTGGTAGCACAACATTTAGCAAAATCAGCAACAAATGGAATACTTGCTTAATTGGTTTGATGTCTTATTTTAGAGAAGCTGTCGTGCATACTCGCGAGCTTTTGGACATAATTGTGAAAGCAGAAAATAAGATTCAAACTAGAATTAAGATTGGTCTCAACAGTAAAATGCCTAGCCGTTTCCCAGTACACGTTTTTTATTGTCCAAAAGAATTGGTAACGTAATTTATTTTAATTATTATATCCTGTACATATTTATTAACTCAATTATGTTTAGGGTGGTCTTGGAATGTTGTCAATGGGACACGTGGTTTGTATCGTTTTCTTATTTCAGTTAAAACTGATCTAAGCTTGCCTAACTTATAATTTTTATTGTTAGCTTATTCCTCAATCGGATCTACGCTGGAGTAAACAAACAGAAACGCAGATTACGCATTTTCGTGCAGGAATGTCACACGTATGTTAGTTTTTCCTTTTCTACTAAATGGTTTAATTTCGTTAAATGTGTATAATAAATTAATTTCGCTATCACAATCATTCATAATTAAAGGAAGAAGATCAATTGATTCCTAATCTTTTTCGATATCTCCAGCCGTGGGAATCTGAATTCATTGATTCCCAACGTGTATGGGCAGAATATGCGCTCAAGCGTCAAGAAGCTAATGCCCAAAATAGAAGATTGACACTTGAAGATCTTGAGGATTCTTGGGATAGAGGATTACCTAGAATAAATACATTATTCTCAAAAGATAGACATACCCTTGCATATGACAAAGGATGGCGGGTTAGAAATGATTTTAAACAATATCAGGTGTTAAAGAATAACCCATTCCATTGGACTAGCTCGCGCCATGACGGTAAACTTTGGTCACTCAACAATTATCGTACTGACGTCATTCAAGCACTTGGTGGCGTTGAAGGTATTTTAGAACACACCCTTTTCAAAGGAACTTACTTTACCACATGGGAAGGCAAGTATTATATGGGATTATTATTTCGTGAGTTAATGAAATGAATACTAACATGATTTTTTTTTCTTAATCTTAGGTCTTTTTTGGGAAAAAGGTAAATGAACTTGCAGCAAAATGTGATTTTTTTTTTAAAAAAAAATTACTCATGTGACTTTGTAACAGCTTCGGGATTTGAGGAATCAATGAAATACAAGAAATTAACAAATGCTCAGCGATCCGGTCTTAATCAAATTCCAAACAGAAGGTTTACTTTGTGGTGGTCTCCAACTATTAACCGTGCAAATGTCTATGTTGGTTTCCAAGTACAACTTGATCTTACGGGTATCTTTATGCATGGAAAAATTCCTACATTAAAGATTTCATTGATTCAAATCTTTAGGTATATATTATCATACTTAAATATAAATAATTGTTCGTATATTCATATATGTATTAATAACTAAATTTTTCAATATCGAATTAATTTTTATTGAATATTAGAGCACATTTATGGCAAAAGGTCAGTATTTAATTTGTTTAACTTGTTTTACATCCATATACATTGGTCTAATTAATATTTATGAATTTAGATTCACGAGAGTATTGTGATGGTAATGAATTATGTTTAATTTTTATACTCGGATTTGAATTTATGATTATTTCATTTACACTAATTTTATATCATATTTTTAATTATTTTACATTAGGATCTCTGCCAAGTAATATAATTTTCATTAGTAGATTACTATTTTATCAATGTTTACGATACTAATCAAAAATATTTACAATAGGTATTCGATTCAGAGCTTGAAAGTTTACAGATTGAAACTGTTCAAAAAGAAAGTATTCATCCGAGAAAGTCATACAAGATGAATTCTTCTTGTGCAGATATATTACTTTTTGCCGCATACAAATGGAATGTATCTAAACCATCTTTACTGAATGATAATAAAGACACTATGGATGGAACAACTACTTCACGTTGGTTTGTTGATGTACAACTTAGATTTGGAGATTTTGATTCACATGACGTGAGTAAAACGTTTTCCAAACTACATCTATTTATGAATAAGATTTTATAAACATCATCTAACCTCATTTTATAGATCGAAAGATATACCAGGGCAAAATTTTTGGATTATTCCACAGATAATATGAGTATATATCCATCACCATTTGGCATTATGATTGGTATAGATCTCGCGTATAATCTTCATAGTGCATACGGTCATTGGATTCCCGGAATGAAACCTTTAATACAATCTGCTATGGCGAAGATTATGAAAGCGAATCCTGCATTATATGTCTTGCGTGAACGTATACGTAAAGGGTTACAATTATACTCTTCAGAACCTACAGAACCTTATTTATCTTCGCAAAATTATTCCGAATTGTTTAGCAATCAGATAATTTGGTTCGTTGATGATACGAACGTATATCGTGTAACAATTCACAAAACATTTGAAGGAAATTTGACCACGAAGCCAATTAATGGAGCTATTTTTATCTTTAATCCAAGAACTGGACAATTGTTTTTGAAGATTATTCACACTTCAGTTTGGGCCGGTCAGAAACGTTTAGGTCAATTGGCCAAGTGGAAAACAGCTGAAGAAGTTGCTGCTTTAATTAGATCCTTACCAATTGAAGAACAACCCAAACAAATTATTGTTACACGAAAAGGCATGTTGGACCCTCTTGAGGTACACTTGCTCGATTTCCCAAATATTGTTATCAAAGGAAGCGAATTACAACTTCCCTTCCAGGCTTGTCTTAAATTAGAAAAATTTGGTGATTTGATTCTCAAGGCTACTGAACCTCAAATGGTAATTTGAAGCATGGCAGTGTATTCAGTGTATTATAATAATCACTTTGGTATTTTTGTCATTCTACATTTTTTTTTTTTATTAAAATTTATACATATTTTTTTTTCCTAGACTCTATTTAACTTATTTGACGATTGGCTTAAAACGATTTCTTCATATACTGCATTCTCGCGTCTTATTCTTATTTTACGTGCTTTACATGTAAATACGGATAAGACTAAGATGATTTTACGTCCAGATAAAAATACTATTACTGAACCTCATCATATATGGCCAACATTGACTGATGAAGAATGGATTAAAGTCGAAGTTGCCCTGAAAGATTTGATCTTAGCAGACTATGGAAAAAAGAATAATGTAAATGTTGCGTCTCTTACGCAATCGGAAATTCGTGATATTATTCTTGGTATGGAAATTTCTGCACCATCTTTACAACGTCAACAAATTGCTGAGATTGAAAAACAAACTAAGGAACAATCTCAGCTTACTGCTGTAACTACGAAAACTCAAAATGTTCACGGGGATGAAATGATCGTGACAACCACTAGTAATTACGAGACACAAACGTTCTCTTCAAAAACAGAATGGCGCGTGAGAGCTATTTCTTCAACAAATTTACATCTTCGTACCAATCACATTTATGTCAATGCGGAGGATATTAAAGATACTGGATACACTTATGTATTACCAAAAAATATATTGAAACGATTTATTCAAGTTGCTGACCTTCGAACACAAATTGCTGCGTATCTTTATGGAATATCTCCGCGTGATAATGCCCAAGTCAAAGAAATAAAGAGTTTGGTTATAGTTCCACAGTATGGTACACATCAATCAGTGAATTTACCATATGCGTTACCGGATCATGAATACCTTAAAGACCTCGAGCCTCTTGGTCTTATTGTGACCCAACCATTTGAGACTGCACAGCTATCTCCAACAATTTTGTCTCTTCATGCAAGAATTGTAGCAGACAATAGGAATTGGGATGCAGACAAAACAATTTCAATGACAGTCTCATTCACGCCTGGGTCTTGTTCATTAACAGCATACAAATTGACACCTGCCGGTTTCGAATGGGCTCGTAATAATAAGGACACATCTGTTAATCCACCAGGTACGTCTATTAGATTTATAGTTAGACTTTATTAAATATCATCTACTTAAATACCAATATATCAAATCAACTAGGTTATCTTCCAACATTTGCCGAAAAAGTACAAATGTTATTGTCTGATCGATTCATGGGGTTCTTTATGGTCCCGGAAAATGATATTTGGAACTATTCATTTATGGGACCTAGTCATAGTGCCAATATGAAATATACTCTCAAGTTGGATGTACCGAAAGAATTCTACCATGAATTACACAGGTAACGTGAACATTTATAATTTATAATATCTAGGATTTCATTTCATTTTACTAATATAATATATGTTATGCAGGCCACAACATTTCCTTAATTTTAGCTCTATGGAAGAAGATATTGAGGCTGATCGAGAAGATGCATTTGCTTAAATAGTATAATATTAATCATTGTTTTATTTTTATTAAGACTTTTACTTTTATTAAGACTGAAAAAATATAGACATTATAAAATACATGTTATAGATGAATTATTTTAATAATTATTCAAATTCTTTTACTGTAAATACTTTTATCATATATATATATATATCAAGAAGTTGGTAAAAGGAAAAAGCAAATTATCTTAAAGAATTAATAAATTATAAAACGATATAAATAATTTGCAGAAAATTTTTTTCAATATCATATTTTATTTAAATACAATGCAAGAAAAAAAGTTAATCGGATATTAGAATAATATCATATAATGAATACTGAGAGTAAATATTAAAATCATTATTCTGGTGTAAATCATCACGTAAAAGTGCGGGATGGTCAATTTCCTAATTCCAAATTTTTGAATAAAGCAATTTTTCCTTTCCAAGCTAAACACTCTCTTTCTAATTTCTCCAAACCTTCCATAACTTCCTCGAGTTTTGGATCACGTGATTTTACAATCACTTTATCTAACACAGAAGCATATTTATCTTTATACTTCCTATTTTATAAAGAGTTTAGAATGTCAAGAAAATAAAGAAAATATAAAAATATATATTAACTTAATACTAAATTTATGCTAAAAAGGATACCAAATATTTGAAGATGATTTGGCCGTTCCTAACAAACCACCGTTTTTCTTTTGTGATGGTAAAGAAGAATGGTAATGTAGTCCATAAACTGAACAAACAACATTTGATCCTTCTACATGAAATTGAATAATTAAATCTTCGGGTATTACTGTACCAAACATCTAAAAAAATGTCAATTTATTATTTATTACTGATATAAAAGAGACCAAGAAAAAAGTCTTTACCTGAGGATCGCAAATCTTATAAGGGAACAATTTTTCTTCATGAGCACAAACCAAAACTGATCGACTACTTATAATATAAATGAGAACAGAATCTAACAACTAAATATTGTCAGCAAAAATTTTTATCAACGAACAAAAAACTTCATTTAAGAAATGAATCTACCTCTCGAGCACTTTCTTTTGTAAGATCTTTACTAGTGCGTTCCAATGCATCCAATGCCAAAGTAAGGTAATTCTGTGCATCAACCAACTTAATGAAATTATGAATATTATATTAAATCAAGAAAACATAGTGCGAGTGGTGCGAGTATAATCTATATTGAAGACTACCTGTTCAATAAAGTAAGGCTTTTTTGGATTAATGGTTAGTTTAATTAAATTACCCCTATTGTAATTAGATAATTTTACTGATAATTCCTATAATTATATCGAATTAAAGATTAAATTTATTTATTTTATTATATTTCATTATAAAAAAAAAACCAAATAAAAGTACGAATATACCCCTTTGATAATATCGCTACCATCTAAAGTAATGAATCCTTTTAAAAAATCATTACTTAAAACAAAACTAAATTAGAAAATCATTTAAATAACAACAACTAAATCATATATATATATATATACTTGTTTGATGATATCGGTAAAGTACTTGTGCCCAGAGAATCTATTTGAATAATTAACATTTTTGAGTTTATTTATTACGATAGAATATAAAAGAAATAAATTCTACCATCATGTTCAGGTGACTTCATAATCGTTTCACATTTCTACAATTTTAAAATTCAATTAACCCATTTAGTAAAAATATTTTACATACATATATAATGTATATATATATACCTCTAATTTAGTTAATATTGTAAATATAATAGACTACTAAGAGAGCAAAATAAATTTAGCAAAATAGATCAATTACCTTCAGCCCTTTCTTTATCTCATAAAGTGCATTTGGTAATTGAGAAATCAACAACCAATCCAATTCCTTCGCCTAGAATAAAAACAAAAATTAATAAGATACATCAAAAAGGTAAAGTATTTATAAATAAAGGTACCAAAGTTTCTTGTTCTTTTTGAAAAATAGTCTGCGTGTCTTCTTCAGCATAAATCATTTTTAACTAAAAATTTTATGAATAAAAATTATTTATAGTACACGCGACTAAATTGTGTAACTGAATTTATTACAGTTCAATTACTCGTTTATTTATTTAACAGTTCATAATTAGATAATTAAACTTCTCAATTATATATATATGTATTTAATGATCCAATTATCAATTATTCAATTATTTTTATTTTTTTTCAACATTAAAAAATTATAATTTAATCTTATAAAATTTTAGGTGCGCTCTAAAAATAAAAAAAACAATAGCGCTAATGAATTAGTGCTATTTGATCATATTTATTATTTCTAATTTCCATTCGCATGGAATAAAATTCACTAATATCTCGAAATAACAAACCTTCGTGAATTGTCTTTATTCAGAAAATCGCGTATTACACTGGCAGATCAAATATGTTTTAATCATTTATCCATTATCATTTAATTTTGGGAGCTTCTATTATTTCAAACATAAAACAAATAAACAATAAATGCAATAAAGTAAAATATTAAATAACAAAAAAATAAAATAATAATAAATAATAATTTCGTTCAACACGGTTTTATTGACAAACCGTGGCGGTTAATAAAATAAGAGAATCGAGAGAGGGAATCAATCCAATCTAGCTTTCATAACTTACAACATGCCATTGTTCCGATTGTTTTTACCAAAAAATTTCGTTCGTCTTTGGTTAGACGTCCTTTTAATACTTTGGTACAAATAAGTTATATTACAAAATATGAACTAATAAAAATTATGGAATGCATTTTAATTATTTTGTTTATTTTACTTGGCTGTCGCCGGCTGAGCATTTGACGCTTGAGTGGGTGAAGTTTTTCTCAATTCAGCAAAGAAATCTTTGCCATTCGCCATTAAATGTCCTATAAACGAAATTTATAAATTTATATATATTATGATTCTGATTAACATTGGAAAATATGAATTATTAATAACCTTTTTGTCCCCAGACATGTCCACCTCCCCAGGCCTTTTCGGATCTATATAACTCTGGTTTTTCTAAACAATATACGTTCATGTAAGTAATTAAATAAATGATTTTTTTTCTCTTGCTAGTAATTACCTGCTTCGGGAAGATTGTTATCGTGAACCCGTTCAAAGTTTTCTTTCCAAGCTAAAAAATCGCGATTTAAAAAATTAATAATTCAACCAATAAATAAATCGTATTTTCACTACTTACTGTTATTTAAATAATTCGAAACTTCCTGAGCGTTAAAATTATTAACAGGAACATGATCCGGGGCTGATTTCATACTAGGTAAAGCTGGACCAGAACCAGCAAACGATGTATGATTGGAGGAAGTTGAAGTTGGGGTAGTCGGAGAAGTAGTCACCGTACCTGAAGCTGGTGGTAAAGTGTTACTGTGAACGTTTTTATTGTTTCCCGCTATTTGATTGATTTTAGAAGTATGGAGAATTTATTAACAAAAAAAAACGTCAAACAAGTTTAAAAACATGGGATTTTCACTCTTACCGAAAGAATTCTTTCGTTTGGCATTGGCATTGTAATCTTGTCTGTTTTGTTGTTTTTTGAAACTATAAATAAACAATTGATCAATAATCGTAAAAATCGCAAATAATAAAAAAACAGATCAAACATAAGATTTCATACTGCTGTCTGTTGTCATCTTGAGCACCAGCCATAATTTTAAAAGGTTATGGTGTAATAATGGTAAGAAAAGGTAAAAAAAAGAAAAAATCGAAAAGGAAAGAAACGTGAAAAGTGAATGAATGTTTTTTAAGATATTCAGCGTTTCAATATATAACTCCAAAGGGTAATGCAAAAAACAATGGGATTTACTTACACTTGTCCTATACTTTAAGATCACTTTTGATTGGACAAAGTAAAAACTGCGGTATGTTAAGGGGTAATTTAATAAATGGCCCGAATTTGAAAATTTGGTCAATATCCGCAGTTATCCACTCCTTAAAAGTGAGACGATGTGGCTAACATTTCACTATACCCAAAAGTAATAGATCATGGGCGTACCTCTTGGCAGAGATTCAAAAATCGTTATCATTTTGACGACAAAATTTTTAAATGTATGTGTTAAATTAATAAAATATTGAAATGAACCATTCTTCTTTTTTGTTTTTATGATACAAAGTGTCAAGGAAAGTGATACAAAGATGATAAAAAGTATCGACAAATTAAACAATCTATTTTAGTTGGTGGGACAACAACCAAAAATGATAGGTGACGTCTTAAAAGATTTTTCAACGATCACACCAAATCTGGTGCTGTGATTTTTCTTAATTTCCCCATATTTTTTCTTATTTCTAAACCTAACAACATATCTTTTTATATTAAGAAAGATTAAAGACGAGTTTAATATTTTATATAGATTGTAACAGAACTTGGGATGGCACAACAACCTCTCGCAAACCGACTTTGGATACTCGTTAAGGTATCTGTATTTTTTTTTACGCGATTTCTTTTAATCTTATATATATGACTTACGTTGCATTATGTTTTATATAGCACCCTCAATTCACCTGGTGGTGTGGACATTGTATTGTCCTCTTTTGCACAACTATTTATTTTTGGTACTGGATCACCCTTAGTTGGCCTGAGGGAATAAATTATTACTATACAGCGTATTTGGGCGCTATGTTGAGTTATGGTGTTGTCGTTTATAAATCGTTTGGCGTGAGTTGATTTTTACAAATTGAGTCTTTATTATATAATTTAAACTTGAAAAAGAGCAAGGCTTTTAATGAGTAATTTAGTATTCAAATAAAAAAAAAATAAAATTAATTGGAAAAATACATTTAGATCAGGAAATCTAAGAAAATCATCCAGTTCTTATTTTGTTATAGAATAAGATTAGCAGTAGTTCAAACAAATTGAGGTCATCGAGTGTTGAATAGTTTTTTTATACTAAATTTTATGTAATTTTAGTCACCACAGCTTAACTGGGAATATTTCCAAAAGATCAACAAAGACGAAAATGTATTCTATCTTACGTTGGCATTAATGTGGTTCATGAGCACGCCTGTTTTTGGTATGTGGAATGATCTAATGTTTTCTTAATAATGTCTACTTTTATCTAACATCATTTAATTTTATGCCCAAAGTTACTCTTATCCCATACGCAACATTTTCATTGTTCCATTTCATTACATATTTACGAGCAAATATTCTTCAAGCATTTTCCCCCGCGCCTGCACATTCTTCTTCTGGTTCTTCTTCAGGGACACAAACAAGAGCTAACAGCGCTTCAAAATTTATTCAAATTTGGGTACACAAGAATTATGAACCAGCCATGAATATGGTTAGTTTCGTCGAAGTTGTAGTTATCACATTATTTCTGTTGTTTAATATAGTAACGTACGTTTTATTTAATTTTACTTTTGTTAAAGATTTTGTAATCGAACTTTCGCAACGTTTTAACACCCATTCTTTTCATTCTCTAAATTACGTTTATTAGCCTACAACTTAGATTTATTACATTACTCTTTTATTGTTTCTTCCTCCGCATGAGATATCTTATGAATACTTACACCCAACAAGTATTTGCTGCTGTTGCACGATTTCTGGATGAGCGGCTGTTGCCTCCTTCAGCAAGCCCAAGCATTCCACCCCCTGTGACGAAAGCATATCAACATGCGAAAAATGCAATAATTTGGATGGGTCGTAGAAATTCTCATAACTCCAGACGGGGTTAAAAATAAATCACAAAACTTTAGGAAACTCTTTGAAGTCATCTTTTTAAAAGGACTTTTTTGGATAATTTAAATTATGAGAAAAAATTTTTACATATTTAATGGAGATTTTTATTCAGATTTATTTTTATGACTGCGAAGATTAGTTTTTACTTTCATTATATTACTTATTTGTTTTGTGAAAGTTTTTAATCATAGGAATAGTAACCAATGTATATTTTGTTTTTTTTTTTGATATCTATTAATTTCTCGTATATACATATATTCAAAAAGAAAATTTTTTCTTAGGTTAAAAATCTAATTTTTTAATGTAAATGTTAATTATCATTAAATAATATTAATTGCCGAAGCGTTATATTGTATAATCAGCAGCCAACCAGTGAATTGTTTCTTGCCTCTGCTTTATCTCAGTTTAATATTATACTATTAAATTTAAGGAGTCTTATTTTTCAGCAGTTACGTCGGTGAAGCTGTGAACTTATAATAATATTTCCGTGAACAATTTTAACACTTCAGTTACTTTTCTAAGTTGATTTGCATTTATGTTTGCTATTGAAAAGATAAAAATAATATTTTACATAACCACATTAGCTAAACGGATGTACTTTATTGTATTTTTAAAAATATACATTGTGCCTGTTCATTAGGATATTCAAACATTCAGTAAATAGTAATTATTTCAAAGTATAAATTTTATAGAGAATGCAAGACACAACCGATTATCTATAAATTTATCTAAATTCAATATGTATCTATAATTGACCTTCTATTGTTAATTCTTTGGTTTTTTCAATTAAATCACCAACTTCCGGTCCTGTAACTTTATCCGCCTTATCACATCCATCCACCTCAATTTTTCGAACATCTTCCAAGAATTTAACAGGATCAACGAACGAAAGGGGAGGAGAAGGTTCAACAGGGAGTGGTGTGATGTCTTGAGTTGCTGGTAGTTGCTGTTTAATTGGCGGTCTTACTCTTGATGTAGTAGAATTTTCAATGACATCATCCTCAATCATCTGCTCTTCTGAGGTTACCTCAACATTCAAATTATAAGATGCCTCCACTTGTTTCATCACTACTTCGATGGCATGATTAGCCAATGCATTCACTTTTGCGGTTAATTCTTCGCGATTTGGCAATGGTCTTCCAAATTTCCTCGTAACAAAATTAATGGCAGGCTTTTGATAAGGTGAACATTGACGCTGATGTTCCCTGGATCTACCAAATAAGCGCATGTTCGTAAGTGCCGAATTTTCCATTTGGTTACTATTTGATTGTTTAGTTGCAGTTGATATTGTTACACATAGATTAGCGGTGGTTAAGAATCCTTTCATCATTGAAGTTGACGTCGCTGTCACTTTCAAAGGTTTAAATACTGAATTTGGAGCTAAATTTGTTTTTTTTAAAGGAGTTTTATTATTTATAAGAGGTGCCGCCTTTGATTTAATGTTGAATTTATGTGATGTCTTTTTCTTTGTAGGATTAGTAGCCGGTTCACTCGTTGTACGTGTATAAGGCGGTCTCGATGGTTTAGTGTTAATGATCTTGTTTGTATTTAGAACACGACTAGCCTTATTTTTATCTTCGGTAGCCGTTGCTGCACGCTCTCTAGTTCGGACGCGTTGAGCGCCCCCTTTGTTAATGCCACGCAGTTTTTGTAGTATTATAAGTATGCAAATAAAAATATCCGCGTTTTTACAGAATAAAGATGTATAAATAAAGAAATTATTGTTGTGAGGGTTTACTATCACACTCACCAGTTCCAGTGCCTGCATCACGATTAATTGATGATGATGTATTAATCGTCTGAGCCCTTGTTGGCTTAGCTGGCACTCTCTGAGCAGTGGTGGTAATAACGGGTTGAGACTTATGTTGAGCTGATGTTAACTTTGGACGTTTTAATGTAACAAACCCAGTAGCTGTGGATAAAGCACCAACTGCATTCTGTGGCTCACCAAAAGGAATAGTAAACGCAGTTGTATCTTCGTTGTTCAAAGAATTATCATTTAAAGGAAGCTTTTTGTCTTTGGCTATCTGCTCTTTGTCTTCATTCTTGTTATTAATCTGCAATTTATCTTCATCATTAGCGAAGATAATAACATCGTTTTGCATATCTCGAACGTTATTAATTTTACGACTTTGTGCTTTCATTATTGCTAAATTGTTTACTTTAGCTGATTTATCCTTAATGCCCAAAATTTTTAACACGTCAGAATCTTTTTTTACAGTCGCAACGAAACTTATTTAAAAAAAAAAAAATAAGCCAAATAAAGTTAATAAAATTAACCTAACACGAACCTGAACAAAAACATAAAATGTAAACTTACTTTTCTAATCTAAGATCAAATTTGGATTTATAAATTTCGAAGATTTGTTTTGAAATATTTCTAACCTCTGATGATGAGTCAGACGCACATTGGCGAATAGCCCACTCAATATCAGAAATATAATAATTCAAATCTCCAACTTCATTCGCTTCCAAACTCATTCGCACCCATTCAGCTGCACAATTCCTCAAGGATTTACTCTGGTGTTGCAATGCTTCCTTAAATTTTGGGATAAGATTTGGAAGGTGGCATATTCGAATTATCGTATTCATGCATTTTTGAGCTCGAATAAGAGAAGTTTTTTTTGTACGCGTACATAACTTAATAATTGATGGTACAAAAATTTCCGACAATGCATCAAACTTTAATCCAAGTGCTTTAGCCATCTCTTCTATTAATTCTGTCGCAGTTCCAGAAAGTTTTGTTCTCTCTGTCAATATCTATTGTTTAATACAAATAAACGTTATTGAACTTAATTAAATGATTATTTTTTTATCTTTTATTTACCGAATTTATTATTGGCTGTCTCAAAGATTTGATTCCTAATATGTAATTTTTTTCATAAAGAACAGCACCGCCTCGAGTTATAGCAATCAAACGGGTTAAAGAATCATCGAAACCTGACCATGTATGTTCTGTTTCTTTTTCTTGAAATCTTTCAACAATTTGCTTTATCTCATTATCTAGTTGAGAAGCGCTTTCAACCTGTGAAACAATATTTTAAATACAGAAAAATAAAATAAAACAAATAGAATAGAATAGAATAGAATAAATTTTTTTATATATTCATACTTTTATTTCTGTTGGAACTCCTGCCATTTATTTTATTATGAAAAGAGCGAGAAAAGTTAAAATACTAATTTGACTGTCTCGAAATGAAACTTTTAACTTTTTTTATTGTACGAGGTGTTACAACTGTTTATGTTTACAATAAAACACGATAATCTATTGGCTATGAATACATGAAATACATGGAATACGTGAGTACGACATAACCTTTTCGGGATAATAAAATTTACTATATTTAATGCCGCCTAAATTTACCATATGAAACGTAAATCACGTGGATCAAAATTATCGTGTAAACATGACCAGCTGATTTAAAAGTGATACAGTAAACTTAGGGGATAATAGTCCTGCGAATATCTAGATCATAAATTCACAAATAAATGTATATTCAATGTTGACAAAAGTGAGACAGATGGAAGTTACCTGCAATTTCCCCTCGCCAGCAACTAATGCCGCATGATTACTAATCTTAGAAAGTATCAACGAAGAAAGCTTAATTCGTAAACATTCAAAGAAATGCTCATCAATTCTTTCCGCAATACCTGATTCTACAATCAATACGTATAATTAGAAGTTACTTTATAATAAGTCTGCTACTAAAAAATTGCTTACGTTGTGAATCAGATTGCTCTTTTGACCTATTTGAAAGCAAATCAGAAATTATTGAAATAATTGAAATAATAAATTCGGAGTGAAATAAGTGAAGTTACCTATTGTAAAGACGTTTGATATCAACGAGAGAAATTCGTAATTTTATATTTTTGATCTCTGAAATATCTGGGATTGTAAACGTGAGCTCAAATGGCTTTGCTAATTGTGAATTAAATAACAATATTTATATATACAAAGCAATACAAATTTTAGTTCGTTATTCAAAGTAAGAAATAATTTAATAAATCAAAAAATTAAACGTGCTTTGAATGAAATCATCACAAGTAAAACTTATGTTTGCCAACTCTTCTACGAATTTTTTTAGATGAGACGATTCTAGGCGATATCTGCATATCCTGCAATCAAATCGAGTTTCAAACCATTCGATTGCAATGTTTGCGAGTCTTTGAGGAGCTTTTATAAGAATAACAGGATAATGATTAAACGGCGCTAAATATAATAAATGAGATTATATTTAAATAAATTGTAATTCAAAAAAAAAGAAGAAAAAAATTAAGGATACAAACAATTTTCAGGCGCAAAATCACGACTAACAATACTTGGTAAGAATATTAAATGAAATATCTGTTCCTTTGCTGGTCCTTATTAATTATTGTAAAGCATTCGTTCAATAAACGCGTAAATTAAATATGAATTAAATTAATGAGCTATACCTTTCGGTTTGAACTTTATCTCAACTCCAATTGGCATACCATTTGTACCTAGAGAAAACACAACGATTCATAAAACCATTACCATAAAACTCTTTTTTTTTCATATTATCATACCGTTCCAATTAGATAATTTTATCTTTGATATGAACAATTCTACAACTTTCCCTTCCGATATAAAATCATTCTCCTCTCCATTATCGCAAACCAATGGAATTCTATTCAACATTTGACCAGTGATGAAATTGTGTAATTCTTTTCCATATTGAGTAAATTTAATGTGCTCGAATTTGTAAAAAGGTGTACATCGATATAATAAAAATGTTTTATTTATAAAAATATCTGTGAAGTAAATAAAAAAAGTAATTCGGGATCGTAATAAATTCGCTTGAATCATATGAACATTTAAAAGATAAATTTACCTGAGTCCAATTCGGCAGTAATTTCTCTTTGACCTTCTTCCATCTCGTTGCTCCTGACACTTCTCTTTCGCTTCTTTTGGTCATCCTTTCTTTTCGACATCGCAATAACGCTAAAAAGTGAATTGATCGTAATTTTAGACGCGTCTGAATAATCACGTGACTTCAATACAAATGATTTCCCTAATGTAATGTGTGTGATGTAAAATATTCGGTGATGGTTACAAAATAAAAATATCTCCTTCACCTGGATACTCTCGATACTCTGGATACTCTTTAACACAGTTGTTGCATTAGTCTTAATGCATTTTCTAATGGTATCTTTAAAGTAAAAAAAGAGATTTATCTTCAAAAAAAAAACATTATTATATAACCATATAAAATACTTTACTTTCCATTTTTACTAAGTATTCCAAGGACTTAAATTTTACAATTTTACAGTATTTGATTATAAATCATACAATGATTCATGTAGATAACTTTTTTTAACTTCTAATTTCATAATATATTGATAATACTATATTGATCTGAAGTATTTATAACAATCTTTCCAATTGAATAAAAAGAATTCAGCTTAGTTTTATACTTATATATTTTAACTAACCTTTAATATACCATATACATGTTACCCAAATTATTTTGGGCTGCTGTAATTATAAGTAAAATCCCCAAATTCAATTATAGCATCCCAAATTATTTTGGCACTTTACATAATAAATTATATATAAACTGAATGAATTATGAGGATCCAGAAATATAACAGGTGGCAAAAAATTTTTTTACTATGAGTACATATAATTGACACCTGATATTGAAAATCCTGCAAAAATAAGCAAATAAAATTTCAGACATTAAGTTATTAATTATTTTATCATGACTTCTATATTATTTATAAAACCAAATACTAATGTGAAAAAATAGAATTTACCATTTTTTTAATAATATTTTTCTAAAATTTCACTTTTTAACCTTTAGAAATTTCTTTCAATTAATACTAAATATTACAATGCGGTTAATTAAATAAATACGTACAGTAATATATTATATATATAAGATTAGCTAAATTTAGGCCAAAAATACGCAAACTAATTTTTTACATATAAAAATTTTGATAAAAAATATGCAATCTTGATGACCTAATTATAGATAAAATTCTAAAATTGTATGCAAATCAAAACTTTACTCTGTCTAATTCCACTATGATGGCAATGCATCTGTGTACCTTACATCTGTATATATATTTTTAGATCCTGAATTATGGTATCCCAAATTATAATTATGGCATTCCAAAATAATTTGGGTAATATGTATAATATACCAAATGTAATTGCTCCAACTTTCAAATTCTTTACTATATAAAAAGTTTGGTAATATATACAAAAAATTTTAAATCCAGTAGTTTAAAAACCAATTATCTAAATAGCAAATACCCTTTAATAATTATATATTAGGTAAGCAAATTTATTTAAGACTATTACAGCCTACAATTTTCACTTATTATTAATTTATTTCAATAAAAAGAATTAAGATTCGATCCGCCTATAATCAACAGAAAATTACTATATAAATTCGGAAGAAATTTTATTGCAAAAAATAAACTAAATAAGCAAAATTTTGCCAATCAAAATCATTACAAATCATGTTGTGGTACCAAGTCATGTGATGAAACTTAAAAATGCCAAGAAAAATATCAAGAAAAATATTTTCACATAGAAACTCACAATAAACGCTAAAATCTGACACGTACCATGTCTTAAATATTCATTATTCAGTAAAAATTGCTTCATACATGAAAATTACTCAAATATTATTGTCAAAGGGATGGTTTTTTGGCTAAAAACAAGCGTAACTAACATACAAATAGAAAAGATCTAAAAATGAAAAATTCAAACTAAAATAACCTATCTGCTATATAAATCCTTCTAAAAGCCATTATTACCTATTGTTCTGATAATTGTATGTTATTTTTTTTTATATTATTGTTACAACACTTTCAAAAAGCTAATAATATTTTGCAAACTAACGCTAAGAGTTTGTGTGATGCACTCAAATTGAAAAACTAGATAAGAATACATATACCAAAACTTCCACCATTTGAAATTAATTTACGGGTTACTCCTCATGAAAATAGAAAGAGATCATAGTAACATGTGAACTAAAAGCAAGAGAAAATATTAGAATTATATAAAACAAGTAAGATGTGTATAAGAGACAGCCATAATACAGACCTAACATACGCGATACACCTTTCCTCTATTTTAACAATGCATTCATTCAGATGCTTATCTGCACATTTCTCGGTATTTTCACAGATAGATACTAAGGAATCACATGCAGTGCAATAAATATGAAATGTACGTCTTCCAGGTCCAAATTTCCCATCTTCATATAATCTATCAGTCATATGAATATATTCATTCTTTGAGAAGAATGTTGGGTTATATTCGATAAGTTTCCTGAATGAAACACGAATACGAGAATACCACATTTTTGGCGTTTCATTACTATATCTGTAATGCAGATTAGTTATTGCTCGCATTACTACAGGATTTAAACCAGAATAGTTAGTTTTAACCATTTTTGTAGTTTATAACTGANCGTTTCCTAGAAGATGATTGGTTGATTTAATAAATTTTTTGCCCGGGTTACCGGGTGGAAAAAAAAATTATTTTTTTATGATTATGATTGGTCAAAACCAAAATCACATGACCAAATAAAATAAATTTTTTTATCTTTTCGTAACATTTACATGACCCGCCCGGTCATGAGAAACGAATAAATTTATTTACTTGGCCTAAGAGAAATGAATAAAGTTTATTTATTTTTTTATTTTTATTAGTTTTCACTATATTCTTGTTGTTACAGTGGATTTATTCGGCAATTTGGTTAATTTTTTGGCTAAAGGTTAGATACATGTGAGCGATAGTTTAAATTGCTTATTTTTATTTTTTGTTTGTTTGTTTTGTTTATATTTGATTTATGATATTTAAAAAAAAAAAATTTTTATTTTAGGAAATTTTCCTCTTTGAATTGTAATTTATATTTGATTTTTTAAAAGATCTTTGAAGAAAAAATATTATAGTTGGCGACCACTTATAAGTAAATTTATACGTATTTATTCTTTAATGGTAAATTTTTTTCACTTTATTTATTTCTTTCATTATATTTATTTCTTTCATTAATTTTATTAATAATTTACTTTTATTTACTTAATAAAACAAATTTCTTAGAGAAGGATGCTTTCATTTTTTTCTCTGATGCAATATTTCATTTTTTATAAATTCTTCAGAGCACCTTAGTAGATGGTAAGTTTAGATGTTACGTATCTTTATTTTAATTAATTTATTTATTTATTTTAACCAATTCTTTTTTGTTCCACCAGATGGAGGAGCAGCGCCACCAACAAACAGAAAAGATCCAAAAGCAGTGCTGGCAAATGAAGAAGCGTATTCAGCAAATGGTAAATTGGATCAGGAGCAGCATATTGGCAGATGGTAAAGGCTCAGACAACAATAATAACAAAGGAAATCCATCAGGGCTGGGTAGTGACAATGATAAACGAATCAAACTAAGTTTAATTTTGGGAGTTTCTTTTTTTTCATTTTATTATTTTGTTGGTAGTTATTTTTTTTTTTTTTTTGAGGTTTTTACGAAAATGTAATTCAATTTAATTTAATTGAATAAAATTGGAAATTAATATCAAAAAATGGGTCGCTACTTTTAGTCTTAATTAATAATTTTATTTCTTTTTAAAAAACAGTAATTATTGTGATTGTGCATTTTCCTCGTCCCCTTTATTAATATCCCTTTGTCTTCCCCTACCTCTTGGTCTACTTCTTGGTCTACCTCTTGGCCTACCCCTTGGCCTACCCCTTAGCTTACCTCTTGATCTTCCTATTTCTCTATCTTCTCTTCTTTCACCTTCTTTCATCTTTCTCATTTTATTAATGTCAGCAACTGTAACACGCGTTATATTCCTTTCTCTCCTTCCAACAGTTGTATAACTTTCAGTTAAAAGAATTTTTTGGTTAACTATTCTTTGCAACCTTTTAATTCCAATATCATACGCTGAAAACAATTTATCAATTCCTTGACTATTTAAATTATTACAGAATTCAAATATTGGATGCTTAAAAGGATTTGCAGATTCGAAAGCATCAACTAATAAATGTGCAAGTTCCCAAATTTTTACTTTTCGAGATTGAATATGACGTGGTTGGGAGCTTTGTACAGAGTCATTAATGTAATCACAAATTAACATATCTGTTCGTTCTTTTTCCAATTGTGTAGCTTTGATTTTTAATTTTAATTCTTCTTTATCTGTAGGAATTCTTGTCACATTTTGCTTTACAAACTTGACACCAAACAACTCTAATGCTTCATCATATGCAAGAAAGTGTCCGTAACTTGTCAAGTTAACAGATGGCGCCATACAAAGTATTGCACGAATCTGTGGGTCATTTTCTATATGATAAAGATGATGTGATACTAATCTTGCGTAATTTGACTTTCCAGCAACAGGAAACAAAGGGGAAAAGGCTTTTAGACTTTCATGTTGAAGTTTAAATATACCCATCGGATTCCAAACCAATGTGCTCGCCAATAACTAGCCCACTAAAAATACAGATACCAAACTTTCACAATTTTATTTTTTTTAAAAATATCATCTAATGTTTGTTTGTTTTTTTCTATATATAAATTAATTCCTATACCAACAGAAACCCAAATTAGTTCTAATACCTTTGAAGTTGCTCTAAAATCAACACCTTTTTCTAATTTATCCAAAAATCGTACACCTAATATTCCTGCCATATTAAATATACCGTATCCTAAAAAAATTGTAATTAATGCAGACATCATATCCTTATTGGTATGCCACTGATCCAGGATCATTTTTACTTTTTCATTTTTTTTGCAATAACTAATATCTCTTCTATAAATTGCTTCATCTGCAGCAATATGAATATATTTATCTTCTATATTAATTTCATCTAAATACATTTTTAAGCATTCATGTACAGCAGAATCAGTTGATGGTGGATCTCTTGCATTAAGAATAATTACATTGGGAGGTGGAAAATTACAACCAACTTCAAAATGTAACATAATTTGATTTCGTATATCATTTTCATCAAAATCTGAACAATGCATTAAGGTATTTTTATCATATTTAAGTAATTTTTTAAAAACTGAATTAAAAACATTTAATGTTTGCAATGAAAAAAAATTTGGTCCAAAAATTTGTTGATTTTCTTTTGTTTCATCAATAATATTAGGTAATTTATCAGACAACTGAAATTGAAATAACATACGTAAAGTTGCGTGTGAATTACCTCTAGTTACATCAAAAATATTTCCATAACCGAAGGTAGCTTCCTTAAAATCAATATTATCAATCACTCCAAGGTTCCAAATGTTTTTTTCATAACAAATTCTATCAGCCGGATTTACTAAAAGTGCGCGAATTTTTTCCAAATTACGTTCATGTCTCTGAGTATAACTAGTAATATTAACTATTTCTAAAATACCTTGTAGATATGATAAGAGTTTTGGTTTGCGACAAAAACTTGCCATTGTTCTAGGTAACCAAATTTTCCACCCTTTAAATGCAATATTCAAAATTATTGATGCAAAAAATGTTACTTGTTTAGTAATTTTTTCATAATTTATAGGTTTAAGTTGCTGTTCACGATGCTTTTTTTGTCAATCTATAATTTCTTTTTTTGCTTCATATAGAGTTTTTAAAAGTCCGTCATAAAATTGCACTAGACATGAGGGAAATATAATACGATACTCTTCAATTGAGGTAGGTGATTCGAGGGTTTTTTTATGAATTTTTAATTTATTTTTTGCTAAGGGCAGTGACATTTATTACGTAATATCCATTTACTATAAGCCCATACTCCCCCACCCCCATGTAATATGAAAAATCTTACGTTACACTTATATGTTATATGACCTTTAAATACCCTCCCACCCCCTAAAATATTACGTAATAAATGTCACTGCCCTAATATTATTGAATTTGCTAATGCTTCTCCAAATTCGAAAAAATGTTTTGGTATAAGATTTTTTGAATTTAACTTATTAGATGAATTGTAATTAAACTTTGCTAAAGTAAGAATAATAAGAATCATAAATAAAAAAGGTATTTCAATTTTATTATTTTGTACTATTGTTTTTTCTTGACTAACAATACTTAAAACAGGAACTAAAGCTGCCAAAATCTTTTCTTGCCATATTAATTTTTCAGAAGTAGCAACTTCAAGAATCCAATATCTAATTGCCTCTAATGCTTCTTTAGTATCATTTTGGTGATGTGACTTATTATCACAATTTGGATCTTTTTATACTCCTTTTCCAACACGCTGGTAAATATGGCCACCTTTTTTTTCATAACAATCCATGCATACATATTGTGCATATTCACTTGATTTTATTGAAGTTACGAGAAGATGATATTCTTGCAAAGCACCACATTTCTTTTGTCCTATACAAGGAACTTGAATATTTTTACCTATAACTACATATGAATGTTCCTCACAATTAGCACTACGACTAAAAAAAATTTTATTTCTATTACAAAATAGGCAACGACGACGATGAATAATACTTTCAGTATATTTTTTAGTTTGCTTTAGATTTGATGTATGCAATTGGTTTTGATCATACATAAAATGTGAGTAACAAACTCCCAAATGTTCAATTGCAAAGTTTTTCGCTCTAACTTCTTCTTCGTCAATTTGCCACATACCAATCATTTACCAAAGTCGTCTCAAATTTTTTGCAGAATTACATCGTTGAATTTTACCATCATACATATCAATTATAACACATGGACTTAAATTTTCATCATTTTCTATCTTATCAATAATTTCATCACATTCTTCATCAGATTCTGTTTCAGAAAAATCAATTTCTATATCACCAAAATTATTTTCTTCATCTGAAATATCTTGTTGAACAAATTTTTTTGCATTTGCAAATGCGTTAAAATCCAATTCAAATAAAGATTTATTATTATTATCTATCTCATTTTCACTGTAAAAAATTTCATTCTCATCCATCAAATTTTCCTCTAAATCCTTATTTTCTTCTGAGTCTTCATATTCGTCATAAGTTTCATTTTCACTTATTAATAAATCTTTATCTAATAATTCTGTCAAGTCAAATGTACTTTCAGGAAGGTTTAAATCTACAAAAAAAAAGATTTTTTTTTTAAAATTTTTTCAATAAAAAATATATGAATATTATTGGTCTTAGTTTTATAGTTTAAATTTTCTCATCGTGTTTAATAAAAAGCCATGTTTTTCTTACCTTCCATTATTTTAACAAAAAAAAATACACTAACTTCAAACAGAGATCTAACTCGAATAACAAAAGTGTGGTGAAAAATTTTTTTTATAAATTTATAGAGACGTTCAATAAGTTTTATTTTTATTTTTAGAGTTTACGTATTATGTTATACAAATGTAGTGTTACATATGACCTGCATTTTTTCAATTTTAGGCTGGCATTATAAATCTGGCCAGCATTATAGACATTTTGGCCAAAATTATGATTTAATCAGCAATTTTAACCGATTTAACTAATTTTGGCCAACTTTAAATATTATATATATACTATATACTTGAAGATAATACTACGCCAAAATTTTTATTATAGCATACATATTAAAAAAAATTTGCCTTTAATTTTTGTGACATTTCCAATGACTGATATACCAAAACTTCTATCATTTGAAATTAATTTACGGGTTACTCCTCATGAAAATAGAAAGAGATCATAGTAACATGTATACTTCTCCACGAATTAAAATTTAGAATGCCGAAATATTCCGGCACAGGTGCTGAAACCAAATTGACGTAACTGTAATTATTTTTACAGACGTAATGTAATTTAACGGACGTACTGCATTATGACGGACATATTGCATTATGATAGATGTATTATATTTTGACAGACGTATTGTATTTTAGCAAAATGTATTTAAAATTACAATTTATATAGCTTTTTTATTATTAAAAAAATATTATATTTGAAAATTAAACGTCCGTTCCTACTATAATGTTAAATCCAGTTTTAGCTTCAGTTGTATGAAAAGGTAAAAAATGACTTGTGTGTCTGAACTCTGAAATCTACATAAAGTGAAGTTAAAGAATGTTAGTAAACGTTCTTAAATAAAAAACCAAAATCTGCTTCCTCCCCCCTTTAGAAACACTTACTCATCTCGAATTCTAAGTTCTAATCCAAACCTATAAAAAGAGAAGTAAAAGAACGTTAGTGAACGTTCTTATATAAAAAAATAAACCCGTTTTCTCCCTCTTTATAAACACTTACTCATATTCAAGTTCCCAGTCTGAACCTACAAAAGAAAGTTAAAGAATGTTAGTAAACATTCTTACAAATCCTGCGCCCCCTCTCTTTTAAAAACACTACTACCTGTCTTTAATGTTAATTTCCAGTTCGAAATCTATAAAAGTAAAGAACGTTAGTATCATTCTTATATATATATAACCCCACTCACTCACTCACCCTTTATAAACACTTACCGTATCAATTCCTACAAACTGGAATCTCTAAAAAACGTTATAAACGTTTTTAATAAAAAAAATAAATAAAAAATCGGTTTACTTAAAAACTGGAAAAAAGTAACAATTTCGGTTTAAAAAACCGAAAAAGGAATAAAGAAAATAAATTTCAGTTTAAGAAACTGAAAAGAAAATAAAAAAACATAAAATTTCTTTTAAAAACTGTATTTACTGCGAAGGATTTAGTAAAACAGTTTCCGTTTTTCTATAAATAATTTTTTTTTAACCTTTAAAAAAAAGATCGATAAATGATAATTCAATCTCTAAAAAAATTTTTAAATAATGATTGGATCCAATCAAATCCAATCAAGTTTGATCGCTGAATGGCAATTCGGCTAATTTGTTCGTATAAATCTGTAAAAATAAAATACGAAATAATTATGAAGCTTTACCTAAATAAGTAAATAGATAGGCTTCCCTCCTTGACTCCTTACCTTCATTCCATATTTTTACAGAATGTAATATCGAAACTGTAATTAATTCACGGAGAAGTATAGACTGACAAAATAGACGACATTCAGTTTTATTCAGTTTATTTTTAGTTTATATGGTAATTATTCATATTATTTTCACATAAAAAAAAATAATCGAATTTCAAATATTAACTACCTAATATTCTATCAACAGTAGCTTCAACGTCGAATACATTTGAACCATGGTTAATAACAGGTAATGGATGTGGTTCGATAACTACATTTACTTCTATATTAAGTAATTTTTTTAATTCCAAATCATTTATATTGACCCATTTTTCGATTTCTGTATCTCTTTGATTAGGAATGTTTGAATCATGACTACTCTCTTCGTCGTCATCATCGTCATCATCGTCATTATTGTTGTTGTCATCGCCGTCATCATAATCATTATCCCCATCATCACCATCACCATCATCATCATCATCATCATCATCAAAAAAATCATTTCCTTCATCTTCGTCTAAACCATCACTTGCATTAGCTTCAGACAATGCTTCTCGTACAGAAGATTAAAAATCGTCTTCTGATACACCTACATAAGCATACTTTAGTTCTTTTTGGGCATTTGTAATATAGTGTGTATGAAGCTTGGCCATAGCTTCCAATTTTTCAACTTTTAATCTAGATCTTCTTTGATTTGCAAACCATCCCAATACTGAAAAAACTCTCTCACATCCAGCATTGTGAGGAGTTATTGCTAATATTTTTAATGCTAATTTTTGTATATGATTTTCTTCATTACGAACAGGATTGCATAAAATCCACCAAGTAAGAACATCACCCCTACTTGCACTATATGGAATGTTGTATTCTTCTTTTTTTAAATAAAAAGATTGGATCTGAGAAATTAAATCGGCAGAAGAAAGTTCACCACCGCCCATATCGATCCATATTTTCATGGTCAAAATATATACATTACGTAAAATAGTTGATCGTAAACCTATTCCTAAATTAATATTAAAAAGAATTGTAAAAAATTCTTAACAATTATAATCCCAATAAAAAATATTTACCTCTATAATGCGGATGAAGTAAGTATGCTAGAAGGTAAAGTTGGATATCGAATTCTTGCCAACGTTTATTAAAAAGTTTAACACATTGATACTTAAAATCATAATCAGAAACAGGCGGAAGTGATTTAATTTTTTGTGTAAGTTTAATTAATTCAACAAAACAATCCGCAAGTGTTGTTGTTTTAAATTCTAATGATTTAACAACTGATTTCACAGGTCCTAGAAGAGTATTTACGGCTTCTACATCTGTAAAAAAAGATCGACTTCAAATAAGTTCTGAAATATCAGTACTTAACTTTTCCGGAGTTTCATTTACCATCTTGATTATTAAAAAAAAATTAGTAAATTAACAATAATGCAAAAATATCATATCCTTCATTCCTTAATCCTTACATTCTTAAGTATTTGTTCTAATCGCAAAATAGAATCTGTGCAGTCCTAAGCCGTAGTCCACCTGGTTATAATGTAAGTTTTTAGTCCACCCGTTTTTATGT